AATTATAGTTTATTTTAATATTATTGACATGATATAAAGCAATAAAGAATCATAAACACACACACATTACACATTTTTTCTTTTTCACTTAAGTCCAAGTAAAAGCTCAACTTGTTTTTGTGGAGGCCAACCAGATCCGGTGATAATGGTAAATGAATTGTATATATTTTTTTAAAATAATTAATATAAGGGCCTTTTTATAATTGTATAAATATTTTATTTAAGCATTTCATAGAATTTTGGTGTAATTGAATTTGTCGGGTGGAGCTTGAAGGTGAATATATTTTTTACTCAATATTGCTAGTGTCACTTAAAGAGAGACAAAAATCATCCAGGGCCGCATAAGAATAGAACCATTTCGTATTGTTAAAGCCCAAGTAGAGCTTTTCCTTGGGCTGGCTATTTGTCTTGAGAGTCAATTGGCTCAATGTTTTTCTTTCTTTTTATTTTTCTTCTTCTTCTTCTTTTTTCCATTTTCGGTGCACATGAACTCTTCTTTCATTTTTTTTAATATATGGCTACAGTAAGAACCGTACAAAAGGTAAGAGAATCAGAATTCAGTTATAAATTAACAAAAAAATAAAAAGATCGAAATTGTTTTTTTGATGAACCACCATATCAACGCATTTGTTAGTGTCATAAACTTTGGAGCCTGTTAAATGCTAACAAAATGGTGATTGATTGAATCTAGTGATTAGATTTAGCAAAATGGCTAATCCATTCTAGTATGATAAAATAAAGTTTACATTCCATTAAAAGGGATATTTATATTTAAGATTTTATTGTGTCTCAAGCAAAATTATTTTTGATAAAAAAAATATTTGTATGCAATTAAAAATAAAAGCCAGTTGATATTGGGAAGGAGCTAAGAGATGAAAAATTGTAGATTCAATCTTACTCATCATCTCAAACTGTTAAGCTGCTTATGATTTTAAAACAAAAGCTTAACTTCTAATCCAAAATCTCTGCCCGCAAGTTACTTTTTTTTTTTTAACACATCCATGGACATTTAAAAAAAAATCATGAGACCTACTTTGATATGATTCTCCTAAATTTTATTTTAAAAAATAGGTAAACGCCCATTCACTAAAACAATATTTGGTTATTTCATGGTTCAATGAATGAACTATTCTAGTTTGACAACCCAAACAAAAAAAAACAGAGAGAAATTTGTTTTTTGCCAAAACATTTTCCCACCCCATCACTCAATAAGAATATAAAATGAATCAAGAATTCATAAGGAGCCATTTCTCAAAATCAGGGGGCAAAAAATCCTTGGATTCAGTGTCCATATTTCTGTCGGGCATTAATATTAATATCTTGAAATGTACCGTAGGAATTAGGGATGAACATCGGTCGGTTCGGTTTCAAAATATGCAGAACTGATCGATTAAATAACACTAAAAATAAAAACTGAATCGATCTGAATAAGCCAATCGAACCGAACAAGGACCGAACTGAAATTTAATAATTCGATTTGGTCGGTTAATTTGGTTTTTCGGTTTTATATTTGGCTATTAAAATTGGGCCCATTTTTTAAATATTAAAATAAACAACACTACAAAATTAGGCCTTTTTTTCTATTCGATTTTTTCAATATGAGCCCATTCTAATTACACCCATATGACATAAAGCCCAAATATTATAAAGGCATGGATAATCAAATAAACAACCATAAATAAACACCGACGATCAAATAATAGCTCCATAATCCAGTCACAACACCTACTAATGAGAGTAACTGATTGAAATGGGGTTTTAAGTGATGTTATTATTTTTTATTCTTTATTAAAATAAAAAATAAAAATAAAAATAAAATAATTTATAAATTAATAATTATATGTAATTCGGTCGGTTTGGTCTATTCGATTTTAAATTTTACTAATCGAATCGAACTGATCAACGAAATATTTAAAATAAAAAAATCAAATCAAACTAAAAAATCAAATAAACCGAATCAAATAGATAAAATTTGATTCGATTCGATTTGATTTTCAGTTTCGGTTTGGTTTTGCTCACTCCTAGTAGGAATTGAACAAATGACTATTTAACTGTGACAGTGACATCTAAAAATTGAAAAACTTATTATATAGTGTTAGAAAAATATGACAATTGAGTTGACAGAAGATTCTTATATTTTTTATTGTATTTTATTTTTAATATTTATTTTGTTATTCTTAGTCTCTCTAGATTGATCCATCCACGATGTTAGTTTTTATTTTATAATTTTAAAAAGGCACATAAAGACTATGTATTGATGCCAACAAAATTAATTTTGCTGATGTATACTTAAATGTGTTTTCCATTTTTTTAATGTATACTTAATTTCACATTTATCTAATGCATTTTGTTTAAATTATACAAATAAAAGAAAGTTTTTTTTTTTTCCTTTCACCTTTTGTTTTAATCATATTTGATCAATTTATTTTTAGCAAAAGACTTAACATAGCTATAGTAAAATCAACTACGTCAGTTTTAGCTGAGGGTTTTTATATACATTTTTAAATTTAAATTATAATAACTCACATTTGATGAAGTAAAAATAACAGACAGCAATAAAATAAAATAAAATAATAGGAACTAAAAAGGGAATAGAATCAAAATACATGGATCTATTATTATTATTATTTTCCTTGTTGATTCTTCTTTTCCATTGAAAACCTTGTAGTGGAGGATGAGCTTATTAAATGATCACGAGACATAATGGATTCCTGTAAGTTTTATTCTTTTCAATATCCAAATGTTCCATCTGTTAGTTATACCTTCTTAACGTTAGCAAAAGTTTTATTCGAAATTCTTTGAGGCTTCTAGATTTTGTTTAGTGGAAAGATAATATTATTGTATACTGTCATATTTCTTTTGCACCAAATTAGGTTTAGCAGGATAATAATTCATGAAGATTGAAAATTTTCATTTCTTTATATGACTATCTAATTGAGTAAAATTCAAGCATTATCGAGCTCAATTGAAAATAGCTTTTTTAAAAGTATTTTCTACATTCATGTAAACTTAAACATGAAATCTCGCATTTAAATACACACACTTTTCCAAATCAAATAGCCTCATTAGCTCACACGTGAAGGAATAAGACAATAAGTGTAGTACGGATAGAATTATGTGGTTGAAATCAAATTAAAGAATGAAAAATTCAATTGGTCATTGAGCTGATTAAGATATTAGCTTAAAAGTTAATGATTAAAGTTGTAATTGGATTATGATTAAACGAGTCATGATTAAATTTTATGGCTCAATAATTTATCAGTTTAACTGGTTGAATTAATCGAGTTTTAGCATGGCTGAAATTTCCCTAACGTCCACAAAAACTTGCTTCCAAGTCATATTTTGTTTCCTTTGAAAATGGAGGAGAAAGACTACGTGGACTCACATGAAAGAAGTGGCCCTGCATGACTGTACCTTAATATCTCATCGAAGGATTCATTGATTCATCGGAGGTTGGTGGTCCCAAATGATTCATCAGTCATAGTCGTTCGCCACATGTACCCATACATTTTCATTTGCTTTTTTTCACCTCAAAGGCCAAGCAAGTGGCTCCTCAATTCTTGGTTTTCACATACCCAAGTCTTAGATATTTGTTTGGTCAGGTGATAAGATGACAAAGTGAGTGAACTCATACTTCAATAATTTTTTTTTAATTGTTTGCTGATGCGTCTCATTATCTGAGGCAACTAATTAATATCACTGAGTGAACGTTATTGATAATGACAATAATTGAATGGTTAGATTTCGTAGTACTAAGGTTTGACTCACTAAACAACTGTCTGCGCATTGACTTTGTTCTAAATTAAAGAGAAAAGTTTTAAGCATGGTCTCAGCAAAATTCGTTATAGAAAGTTAGGTTGATGAGAATTTCAACTGTATAAATATATTCAGATCCAATCATAGACTTGTATTTAAACATTTTGGAGTTGCCTTAGTATAAATTATTTAGATTGTGAAGTACATATTATTTCTCAGAATTCATATTTAATTAGTTCACCTTAGAAATATCAATAGAGTCCTAATACTTAAAATCTTGAGAGTTTAATGTCCATGTTCTCCCACATTCAACAACAATAACCACACATAGTTTTATTATACCATGTAGAATTAGCTATATGAATTAAATGATATTATTGTACTCTATTAATAATTAATTTTTCTGATATATTGCTAGTCAACAGATTTTTTTTTTTTAAATTTGACAGTTATCTTTGATCACATATTTAGTGAAGTAAATAGCTGCGCCAATTAGCTTGATCACTATACCAATAATAATTGTTTAGACATTGATTTTGAAGACCATTTCTATGAGACAAATTATTTTTGAATTTTAATATGATCTAATTTGTACCTTTACACAGTTTTTTCGTATTTTTTACAGTGATTTTATATTAAAAAATCTTTTTTAATGACCTCATGTATTTTTTTTTTATCTTTCTCTACTTTCTTAATGGACACAAAATTGTCAATGTCCCCCTCTTTTTCATTCAATGACTATCTTTGTACATTTTCAAAATAATCTTAGACAATTTTTTATTTTCTTGTTTACAAATCTTATGTTAGTGTTTTTGGCCCCCACGCATAATTTTTTAAAATAAAAATGCATGTTGAACCTGCAAAGGTGACAGCAATGGCTTAAAAGTTCAGCAGTCACTGGTCAGTGGTCAGTGCTGCAAAATCAACTCTTGGCAGAGAAAGTCGTCATTTTGGGTTACGAAAAATCTAGGCGAGTTATTAGATGGAGTATGCTTTTAGGTTTTACAAAAATATTTATAAATGATTTATTAATAAATTTCTCATAATGATTGAGGAATTTGAATCCATAACTATATAGATTATGCATTAAATTTTTATTAACTAGACTAACTTTTAAATAGGTTAAGAAAGTGTCTTGCTATTAGAATTTGCAGTGAGGTCCCAAGTTTTGGACTATTAATTATAATTGTAATTATTAATTGATAGAAATTATTAAAATCCCGAAGACAAAGAAGAGAGCAAGAGTCAAGTGGCGGAGTCGTTCTATGTTATAGATTTTCGTCTCTCCTCAGGGATGCGAAGAACATAGACTCCCAAATAGCAAATTTCCTGTCTTGCCCGACCGGCCACTTCAGCATCCTCTGCTCCAAAAGTACATTCATCTACGAACAACCAAAATCTGTCTGTCTTTATTTCTTGGTTCTTGGGAAGGGGCAGAGAGAGGGGGTGTGTCTGCATCAGAGACTTGATTTTCTGGGTTTCTGCTCCTCTCCCGCTTGGTTCTTTTGACACTGTAATCTATGACTAAATTGAGGAATTGCTTGGCTCTGGACTTAATCATCCTCAATGTAGCTCTTGCCTCCATCAATGGATTTCTTGCCATCGTTGCATTTGCTCAGGTTTCAGTTTCTTCTTCTTGTATATCTTTTCCGAGGATCTTTCTAAATGACATTGTGTTGTGCTTTTTCTTGGTCAATGTATCGACCCTATTGAATCGATGACCATTAAATTGTTACTGGTTTGGTATTTGAGCAAAAAATGAAGAGTAATTCATCAAAATCCCATCTTTTTTTCAGTGATTCGGTTCCGCTTCTGGGTTATGGGGTAGAGTTTTAGGGTATGTTTAAACTAAGGAGAATGGGTGAGTAGGCAGGTGAAATTCCAATTTGATATTTTCTTTTATTTCGATTTAAATTTTGCATTTTTGCCTGTGGATTGAGGAAAAGGGATGAGTAGGAAAGGGGGAAAAATTATGAGATTAAAAACTTTGTCAAACTTAAATTTTTACTTCCTTTCCCTTTGTCTCCCTTCTCTATAATTCCGACATTCCCATAGGGTAACTTTAGAAGGGGTAGTATGAAATGTAAAGGCAAAACGGGGTTTTGTTTGAGGGTTGGCGAGCTCCCTCCTTTGATCTCTATTCTTCATTTTTGTCTCATTGTTGAGATAACATGACAGTGTGAGTGTTTTGGATTCCCCAAAGCTCGAAACTTGTGAAAGTGTTTGTTTGTGCGGTCAGAGAGAGATATGAAGCAAAGAAAGAATGGGTGAAATACACCCTCACTTCTTGTGTCACTTTTTCTCTCACTTCAGAGGTACTTTAACTTTAGAGGATTTATATTAAGGAATGTTTAACTAACTGCAAAATGTTATGGTTTTGCTAATCTGTTTAATGTTCTCATTGGTATGCCTTAAATAAAGCAAATCCAGAAGGACTATTTCTTCTTGCTTCTGTTGTAACCGCTATATTTTGCAACATATATGCCAGGTTAAATGTTATATGGCGAGATAACACTCCAAAACAATTAATTTTCTGAAATAAGAGCTTTTCCTTTTCCCTACCGTCCGTGACATTATCTAACACTATCTTATGCAGCTGATGAGGATTCATATGAGAAATCAACAAGATGGTTGGACTCGTCAAAAAGTAAGTGCTATCTCATCAGTCAATTCAACTTTTCATATTTTTATTATGTAGTTGAAGATGCTGACATTTGCAGCATACTGTAATGATTTTTTTGTCATGTAAAATTAATTGGCAGTTAAATATTGCGAGCTTTACTTATTATTTAATTCAATTGCCAAAATCGTTGAGGTATCTGGGCAGTATGATATCTGGATTTCAAGAGTCGTCACTAAAGTTTTTGGCTGCAGATGGACACCCATCTGGTTTTATGCCATCACCAACTGTGTACGCTTATGTTATAAGAGAAGCAAGATGGTTCTAAGTTGCAAAGAAACATCAAATAAGTTAGGGCAGTGATCTGAGATAAAAAATTGTGGGGATGAGGGGCCCGCATTTTCATTTCTGGCATGGAGCAGGCAATCTTTCTAAGCAAAGTCCTAAAATATATGGTTTTCTCTATAAAATGACCAATTTTAGTAAAGTATGAACACCTTTTATGATCAAAAGCATACGCTTAGCCAGTTAGCCTCAGCTGAATAAAACTGTTTCTTTTTTAATCTTATAACCTGAAAAATTTCAACCTTTTCTCACTCAATGTGAAGAAGAATTATTACAGAAAATGTGTCTTCGCATGAGAATTCAATATCTTCTTGGTATTTTGTTTTCACATGCGTATAAAAAATGGATCTTAATCACCCCTTGAATTATATTGCGATTGAAAATCCATTTGTTTGGTAGTCTAAAATATATAAGTGTAACAATATTATGACAGATAATATGTTGCAACTGATTGATCACTGATAGTCTTCCCTTGTCAAGCCTTGAAGATGGTGCTGTCTCTAAAAATTGCATGTTAATTTTGGAAGCAGTAACTTCCTTGTGAAGATCAGTTTAATACCTCAGTCATGGTTAAGAATTAAGTATTACTGTTTTCTCTATATGTGAAGTTTCCTGTTTTATTGTCTCTATGGTTTTAAATTTCTTACTAAACTTTGTGTAATAAGTTTGTATATTTATGCTTCTTTCCTGTATTTAATTTCCACCTTGTGATCTGTTATTGAATTCCCTTTTAAGTTGTCAACTGTACAGTTATGCATTGTTGCCTCTTTGGCTTTTACATAGCTTATTGACGTTGTTGACTTCTATTTTTTAGGTACTTCATCTCATGGTTGGATTTTCCAATTTAGGTATGGCTGATGTTCTTACTTTTCTGCCTTGAGAAATAAACTGATAATTTTAGAAGTGGTTTGTTAATTATGAGAAATTAATTTTTCTTTTGGGAAACTTTTTCACATGTTATTAGCATTTGGCCTCATACTAGTTAAATTAACGGTAATAGAAGAAGATTCTACAAACTAGCTCTCTCTGTTAATTCAAGTCGTTATATTTGACAGTACAGAGTGAAATGTAAACATATTTCTCTGATATTCACTCCCATTTCATACATCTATCTCATCCTTTATCTCTAAGCTACTGTGAATGCAATTCACCCAACAAAATTAGCAACTTCTACTTGCAACCAACCAACCCCATGGAACATCCAGAAAATTCACAATTTTTCCAACCTGATGTTATTGTGGTTGTTTACTGAGGTAAGTCAAGTTAATCGCACTGAAAAATCTGGAGGCTAGAGTTTATTGTGTACTATCAACCCAGTGATGCTGCTTAACTATTGAAGTGAAAACACACCTTTTCTCATCTGGGGGTAATTTAATTATGGGGCCAAGCTTCCATTGACTAGAGAATATGTCGTTTCCCTATATTTAGTTTCACACACAAACACATCTATTGTGGTAATCCTAACCACAAATTAAGATTTTTATGTCATGTCATGCATTTTCCTCTTATTTTCAATTTGCATCTTTAGTCATTACTAACGACTTAGCTGTTAGAAGCCTTCTACTCAGACTGAAATCTTTTCGCTTAGATGCTGTCCACATACTGGGTGATTTGATATTAGATCTTACGAACACATAATTTATATTCATGTGTTGTAACATAGATTTAGTATATGCAGATTGGCATGCATAGCTGACTAATGTTAAGTTTTCTATTTGCAGGGTACTTTATATATTTTGCTTCTACCATTGTTGCTACTTGTAATGGGTGGAACTGTTGGTCTCATGCTTGTGGTTTCATCCTTATGGGTATGTTTTATCTAACCATATGTGCTGCCAAAATTTCTGTTTCTTGAGACTTTAGTGCCATTCATTTCTGATGATGAAATATTACTGCAGCCTCCCCAAGAGTTCTGTTTTTGGCAGTATTTCTTCTTCTGTTGTCATTCTGGTATGTCATTATATAATTCTAGAAGAAGATTTATCTGTGCTATTTATTTCCCTCTTTTTGGAAATTGTCATAAACATGTTGTCATGAGTCTCCACGCAGTCCATGTAGGGCTTCTGATCTTCCCTTATTACAAATAGCAGTAAGATTTTAGATCAACAAATAAAAAAAAAATGTGACTACTAACTTTGGACAACTTGTCAACATAGAAATGGGCACGGAAAGAATTAGGATCTGGAAATAACGAAGATTCCATCAATAGAATAATAAAAAAAAATAGAATAAAGTTTGGAATGATAGTTTCTGGGGTGTATATTTGTTGGGTCTGGAAGAAAGATCGGTTGGCAATCTATTTAGATGATAACAGGCTGGGGATGGCTTGAGATTCAGAGTTGAGAAAAAAGAGGATATTGAGATTAACATTGTAAATTGAAGTGTGTTGGGGACTTATACTATACCTTGGAACATTTTTATTCTTATTATAAATGTAAATTATGAGTCTACTTTACTTGCGGATTAGTAGGGATTAGATTGTTCACAATTTTAGAGTTTTAACAGTTCAGAAAGAAGCAGAGTTTTTGACAAGATTTGAAATTGTATGTAAGGAGCATAATATCTGGTATTCTTTTATTGGGAGTCATGTCTGACTACCTGGGAGTAGTTAGTGGGCTGTGCTCTTTTAGCAATTTGTTTTCTTAGGTTTTATTATATTAAGCCACTGAATAAAAAAGAAAAAGAGTCTACTTTACTTGCGGATTAGTAGGGATTAGATTGTTCACAATTTTAGAGTTTTAACAGTTCAGAAAGAAGCAGAGTTTTTGACAAGATTTGAAATTGTATGTAAGGAGCATAATATCTGGTATTCTTTTATTGGGAGTCATGTCTGACTACCTGGGAGTAGTTAGTGGGCTGTGCTCTTTTAGCAATTTGTTTTCTTAGGTTTTATTATATTAAGCCACTGAATAAAAAAGAAAAAGACAAGTTAGGGGCTCTGTATCATTTGCTGGTGCTTTGCTTTGGAAACAGTTTTATAATATGCATGTCTTTTTTTAATACCCTGTTGACACTGCATTTGTGGCATAAGGATTTCAATAACTTATGCTACATTTTCTTTCAGAAGTTTTAATTACTTAGGACTTCGTTTGGAACATTATCAATACTGATGATTCCATGCCATTAGAATTTTCACATTTGCTGTGATGAGAATCTCGTTTAAATTTCTATTTGAGCTGTGTACCTCTTCTTCACAACATTAATGAAGTGGTAAAACATGCATCATCTTGTATAAAGTAAACTTGTTGGCTGATACAGCATACAGCTATTTCTGGGACAAAACTGTTTCTGAGGTGTATGCACGCCTTTGTGGGTGACAATTTTTTAGGGTGGACCTCTGCCATCAGGCAAATGAAGAAGATGAAGAAGAAGATGATGATCAAAATAGCATCAGCCAGGCCTTGTTGGTAATTCTGAAGAGAGAACCTGGTTCACATCATGTGAAAGACTGTAGGAGATGCTGCTTCCAAGGCGTTCATGTTGGTAGCCGGCAAAAATATGTCATCATGGTAATGAAAAAAATTCCCACATTAGGCCAATGCCTTGTTTCTAGTGTGTTTAATTGGTTGCAAGTTCATTTTAGTTTGAATTTCTCCTCCCTTCAGATTGTTGCTATGATCTTTCTTATGATGATGGCATTTACCATGATGATCTGGATTGGTGCTGGAGAAAATCCGATAAACCCTTCTGTAATTGCTGAGGTATGGAAGTGGAACTCTTCAGTCTTCTTCTTTTCTTTGCATCATCTAACTTTTTTGTGGTCGAAGACAAGCCAGAGGAAGGAACCAAATGAATCTTATTCAGTAATATGGTCAGAATATATACACGTATCATAATCTTCTATAAAAGGAAAAAAAACAAAAGGAAATAAAATCAAATATTACTCCTAATGACCCAATCCTATCAAATCTCTAATTTTATGGGATGTATCCCTCTAATTTTCCTGTAATTATTTTCACACTCTCCCTCAAGTTGGATCATAGATGCTAATCATGTCCAATTTGCTTATACAATTATCAAAAGCGGGTTTGTGTAACCCCTTTGTCAACACATCTGTTGCTTGGAGATTTGTGGGTAAGAAGGCTAGACATATAATTCCATCTTCTACCTTCTCTCTGATAAAATGTCTGTCTATCTCCACATGCTTGGACCTCTCATGTTGGATAGGATTTAATGCCATACTTATGGCAGCCTTATTATCACAATATAGTTTGAGAGGCAGATCAATTTGGACATGGATCTCTTCTAAAACCCTTTTTAGCCACAATTCTTCCATTATACCTTGAGCAAGAGCTCTCAACTCAGATTCAGCGCTGCTTTTGGATACAACTCTCTACTTTTGACTCTTTCAAGAAACCAGATTTCCCCATACAAATGAGCAATACCCAGAAGTAGATCTGTCTTGGTGATGTCTACCCCAATCTGCAGCTGTATACACCTCTATATTCCTTTGTTCATGTTTTTGAAACAGTAAACCTCGTCCAGGATTTCCCTTTAGGTACCTTAGGATTCTGTATGCAGCTTCCATATGTTTTTCCTTCGGTTCACACATATACTGACTAGCAACACTCACAGCAAATGCTATGTCAGGTCGTGTGTGAGATAGATAAATAAGTTTCCCAACAAGCCTTTGGTATCTCTCTTTATCCATTGGCCTCTCTTTCTCTTTATCTTCTTCTTCCTCAACATAGTTACCCTCGTTATCTAAATTGCCCTCTTTTTTCTTGGATTTTGCCTCTTCTTTGGGACAACAATGGGGGTTTCAACAGGTTTACACCCCAGCATACCTGTCTCCTTTAAGAGATCAAGTACATACTTCCTTTGAGACACATAAATACCTTGCTTTGATCTTGCAACCTCCATTCCCAAGAAGTATTTCAAACAACCCAAGTCCTTGATCTTGAATTCTTTTCCAAGAACAGCCTTTATTCTTGCCGCTTCCTCATTATGATCACCAGTGATGATTGTATCATCAACGTATACAATAACGACACACCTCTTGCCCCCTTCTACTTTAACGAATATAGTGTGATCCGATAGTCCTTGATTGTAGCCTTGTAGCTTTAGAACTTTTGAGAATCTATCGAACCATGCTCTTGGAGACAGTTTCAACCCATATAATGATTTCTTCAATTTACATACCTGATTCTCCCTTCCTTTATCAAAATCAGGAGGTAGAGTCATATGAACTTCTTTCAATTCTCCATTTAGGAAGGCATTTTTGATGTCTAGTTGGTGTAACGGCCATTCAAAATTGGCTGCTATAGATAACAATACTCTGATGGTGTTCAGTTTTGCCATTGGTGCGAATGTTTCCTCGTAGTCAATGCCATAGGTCTGTGTAAACCCTCTTGCCACCAGTCTAGCCTTCAATTTATCAAGATTTCCATCAGCCTTATATTTAGGGGTAAATACCCATTTGCAACTAACCAGCTTCTTGTTTCTTGGTTTATGCACAACCTCCCAAGTCTCATTTTCTTCCAAGGCTTTCATTTCTTCCAAGACAGCTTCTCTCCATCCAGACGTTTTCAGGGCCTCATGAATGTCCTTAGGGATACAAACACCATCCACATTCGCAATAAAGGCCCGATATCCTGGGAATAAGGCTTTATAAGATAGGAACGTCTAAATAGGATGTTGTGTACATGATCTTGGCTTCTTCCTGAGGGCAATAGGCAGCTCCAAGTCATCTTCTGAACTTTCTGAACCTTCTTCCTCATCAGGATTATCATTCTCATCTTCTTTAGGACTCTCTCTCATAGAATTTGTCATCGGTTCTAATTCCGGTATTGCTTCAGGTATGAGAGCTTTTGTACCATGCTTCTTCTTGCGTGTGTAAACTTTGATCTCTTTACCTTCTACGCCTGTGTTCTTGTCTCCCCCTGAACTTGCATTTTCTTTTGATTCTGGAATAAAAGAGACAGGCTTTGGCAAAGTGGGATGGTCAAGAGAATCAATAGGTTCAATGGGAGAATATTCTTGAAATTCACTCTAACTCTCCCCCTGAATTGAAGGTGATGAATAGAAAGGTTCGGATTCAGAAAAAGTAACATCATGACTGATAAGTAGATGTTTAGAGGATGGCTCGAAGCATTTTATCCTTTTTGGTGTGAGGAGTAACCAAGAAACACACACTTGATAGCTTGTGGGTCAAGCTTGGAAGAGGAATGGAGATGAACAAATGTAGAACACCTAAATAACTTTAATGGAAGAACGGTTTCAAGATGGGTGAGAGAGTGGGTTTGCCAGAGACACTCAAGGGGTGTGGCATAGGATAGGATTTTTGTGGGCATGCGGTTAATGAGATGGGTGGCGGTAGGAATGGCATCCCCCCAGAAATATTTTGACACATTTGTGGTAAACATAAGAGCACGGGCAACATCCAACAGGTGTCTATTTTTGTGTTCGGCTACCCCATTTTGTTGGGGTGTATTTGTACAGGTCTTATGGATAATGCCCCGAGCTTTAAGGAAGTCACTTAAAGACTTGTTGACATATTCAGTGTAATTATCTGTTTGGAGAATTTTGATGGATGTGTTAAACTAATTAAGAACCATGGTATAGAATTCGATAAAAATATAGGGTACCTCAGATTTATCTTTCATTAAATATACCCAACACACACGGGTATAGTCATCAATAAAGGTAACGAACCACTTGGCTCTAGTTCGATTAGAGACACAAGATGGACCCCAAACATCACTATGGATAAGAGAGAAAGGCTTAGAAGGCTTATATTTAGACCGCGGAAAAGAAGAGCGATGATGTTTAGCTAATTCACAAATATTGCAATGAAAATTAGAAATTTTATTAGATGAAAAATGGGGAAACAAATGATTCAAATATTGGACATTGGGATGACCCATTCTTTTATGCCATAACAAAAGATCAACTTGTTCAGAAGTAGTCACAAGGTTGCAGTAGATTTGGGACTATAGATTACTCACGGTTGATTCATCAAGGTAGTAGAGCCCATCACACTCCTCAGCACTGCCAATCATCCTTCCCAATGAGAGATCCTGGAAAATACAGTGAGTAAAGAAGTGAGCACTACATTTGGCTTGTTTAGTCAACTTGCTAATGGATAGTAAATTGTACGCAAGATAGGGAACATGAAGGACAGAGTCAAGGTGTAGAAATTTAGAAACAGTGATACTACCCTTTCCTGCAATGGGAGAGGGTGTACCATTTGCCGTGTCAATTTTCTCATGGCCACTACAAGGAACATATGAGGTAAACAAGGTAGAGTTTGCAGTCATGTGATTTGAGACTCCAGAGTTAACAATCCACTTTGATTTAGTGGAACATACATTAAATGCAAAATGCGAATTACCTTGCTTAGCAACAGAAGCATTATGAGATGGAGGTGACTGGTTGGATTGTAAACTATAGAGCATCTCTAGAAGCTTATTTAACTGATCCTTGTCAATGGTAGGCAAGGTACCCGATTTGTCTAGGAGCAGGACCAGATTTGTCTGAAGTAGAATTAGAAGTAGTTTGATAGCCACGAGATTTACCTTTATGTGGTTTCCAATTAGGTGGTTTTACATGAAGGTCCCAACATTTATCTTTTGAATGGCCTGTCTTTTTGCAATGCTCACATACAACCTTTCCTTTTGATTCCTTTTGGCCTTGATCTGATTGTCGGTTCACTAAAGTAGACGACTTAGATGAAGGAAGGGTTGATGAAATTCCAGGTAACATCACCTTGCGACGAGAAGCCTCACGACGAACCTCAGCAAATGGATCCCGAGTAGATGGTAAAGGGGAGCGAGCCAGTATGCGACTACGAACATCATCTAATGATTGATGAAGACCAGCCAAAAATTGGAATACTCGCTCATCTTCAATAAGCCTCTTATGACGTGTTGCATCACTCGGACAAGACCACTCGGTTTCTATGTTGAGATCAATCTCTTGCCACACTAAAACTAACTCCAACCAGAATTCAGTAAGATCACGCTCATCTTGTTTGATCTGCCAACTTCGAGTTTTGAGATCATAGATTCGAGTACCATTTTCCCCATCCGAGTAAGACTCCTTGACTACGTCCTAGATATCCCGTGCTGTCGGGAGAAACATAAAGGATCGTTTGATTTGAGGGGTTATAGAGTTAACTAACCAAGAAGCCACCAGAGAATTTTTGGTCTCCTACTTCACCAAGGCAGTCGAGTCTGATGCGTCTGGTGGTTTGGATGTACCTGAGATAAGACCCAGCTTCTTGTGGCCTCCAATAGCTAGTCGAACACTCTGGGCCCACTCACAATAATTAGTTCCATTGAACTTTTCGGAAACTAGGACAAGGGACGCCCCCTCGGTAGAACTCAACTCGAGAGGAGTTCCACCATTTGGGGTGATTTTCGAGTCAGCCTTAGTGCCGGAACCCATGAACGCAAAGGGTCGAGTGTGCGAGTTTGACTCTCGGTCGGCTCTGTCGTCTTCGTTTGAGTGATGGTGTTCAGCGTCTGCGTGCTTTGATACTATGTGGTCGAAGACAAACCAGAGGAAGGAACCGAATGAATCTTATTTAGTAATATGGTCAGAATATATACACATATCATAATCTTCTATAAAAGGAAATAAAAATAAAAGGAAATAAAATCAAATATTACTCCTAATGACCCAATCCTATCAAATTTCTATTTTTATGGGACGTATCTAATATACTTCTGTAATACTAGGATAGAATTGAATAGATGTA